CCACGAAGGTGTTCTGTCAGTTAAGAAACAGGTGGAAATCACTTGGTGCCAGGTCTGCCGAGTATTGAGGGTGAGGAAGCTCTTCGAACCCACATTGTCGCACATCAGTCGAGAGGTGTGAGAAGAAGCATTGTTATGAAGTAGTAGAACTCCAGCAGTCAGCATTCCTCGCCGCTTTTCTTTGATAGAATCTCCAGGCGATGACGCAAATCAGCAGGCACCGGTAATCGTCTTTTGACTTTCTAAGTGGCAATAACTTTCTTGAACTGATCTTGAAGACATGAATTTCTCTGGTACTGGAGAATGTGCCATTCCATGAATTGACGTTTTTCACCAAACGTTACTAATCTCTTTTGGAATGTTCCTCAATTAGCTCTAAATTTTCTCGTGCAATGTCTGTTCTTTTTCCCCTGAAGATCAGAATTAGGAAACTTTGGCACCAAAAGAGCAGATATCTTATTCATCTGTAAGAGTCCATGAATAATAGTTTCAATGGATTCATAACTTACACCTGTGTCTTCCTCAAGTTCAGCAATGGTAATGCTTCTATCTGAAAGTATAAACTTTTTCTATCTCATTGATTGAATCCTTATTTGATGTAAGTTGAGCGACGTCCAGACCTAGGGACATCATCAAGGCTTTTTCTCAGCCTTAAACATAGCTGCCCAACGTTTAGCTGTGGAATAGTTAGGGCACTTATCCTTGTGACATGCGGTCATGAATTTCTTCGGGAATACCTTTCTCTTGTGTGTGATTGGCTATTGGTGCAGGATGCAATATTGTGTGTGATTGGCTGTGGGTGCAAAATATTACGTTGGTGTGATTGGCCATGTGTGCAGTGCGCTTTATTGTGTATAATTGGCTACGGACGCAGTATGCTATGTTGTACGTATTGGCTATGGGTGTAGTATGCTACATTGTGTGTGATTGGCTATGTGCAGTATGCTATATTGTGTATAATTGGCTATGGGTACAGTATGCTTTATTGTGGTGATTGGCCATGTGTGCAGTATGCTATATTGTGTGTGATTGGCCATGTGTGCATTATGCTATATTGTGTGTGACTGGCAATGTGTGCAGTATGCTATATTGTGTGTGATTGACTCTGGGCAGTATGCTATATTGTGTGTGATTGACTCTGGGCAGTATGCTATAGTGTGTATGACTGGCCATGTGTGCGGTATGCTTTATTGTGTGTGATTGGCCATGTGTGCAGTATGTTATATTGTGTGTGATTGGCCATGTGTGCAGTATGTTATATTGTGTGTAATTGGCTATGTGCAGTATTTCTTGTAGTGTATAATTAGCTACGAACGCAGTATACTATATTGTTTGTGATTGGCTATGTGCACTATGCTATGTTGTGTATAATTGGCTATGGGTGCAGTAGGCTATATTGTGCATGATTGACTCTGGGCAGTACTTATGCTATATTGTGTATGACTGGCCATGTGTGCAGTATGCTATATTGTGTGTGATTGGCTATGTATGCAGTATGTCTTGTAGTGTATAATTAGCTACGAACGCAGTATGAGCAGTATGCTATGTTGTGTGTGTATGCTATATATAAATATACCGAGGCAAGGGAGTTAACTGACAATAGTCCAGTTTCAACCCTAGGCTGGAATTATGGAGTTATATTTTGGCTGGATTGACGAGTCTATGCATAGACCAATCAAAATCGCGTAACGAAATCTACACCCGGTTCTTAATCTTCCGTGCAGATTTCGGTCGATTGCAGGATTTGCAAAACATGTGTACTGTCAACTCGGCATAAGCGGACATACCTTCTCCGCCTGCTTTGCCAACACCTGTCACTATCTCGTCCAAACGAGTTTTGGTGTAAAATAAAGACCAAGATATTTATAACAGGAGACGGTTTCGATCTGAGAGCCCCTGTAATACCATTTTTCATAGTTATCCTCCATTTCGGAATACAACAATCTTCAATTTTTGTATATTTAGGTCCATATCCCAATTTTCACAGAAGTTGCTAACGCAATTTATTTGTTCATGGAGCGACATCATCAGCATAGAGAAGTGAACAGGTATTGGGATAATCTTCAGATGAGAAAATGCCTCTACAGTTTGAAGTAGGCATCTCAGTTACCAGCTCGTTGAGATATAGTGAAAATAACATTGGGCTGACCATACATCCTTGGCGAGTACCAACCCAGCACTGAAAAGAGTCAGTGAGACCTTGATCTATCCGTACACAAGTCTGTAGGTTTGAATACATATTTCTTAAAACAGTTAAAATATTTTCAGGTATTCCAAAGCTAAAACGTCGATGCCAAAGTAAAGAGTGATATACGCAGTCATAGGCTTTGGAGAAGTTTATGAAGAAAACATAAAATCTCCCACTGTTGATTTAGATTATTTTCTAATCATACCATAAAGTGAAAACATGTTAACAACCGTCGAATAACCTTTCCTGAATCCAGCTTGATTTTCATAAATAACATTATTTTGGAGTCTCTGCTTTAATATTTTGGTGAAAACCTTTCACTGATAATAGAGATATTCCTCTGTAGTTGTTTGGATCAGATAAAGTGGCTTGTTTATGAAGGGGGCATATGATTGCCTTGCACCAATCAATCGGGAAATTCCCAGTTTTCATTATTTCATTAAACAAATTCATTATTA